TATCTATTTTAATACACTACTGAGATAGGCTTTTATTTTTCAATCTTGATTTCAGAGGTCAAAAAAATTTTTCAATTTTTTTTCAATCATATAGTGGTGTAGACTAGTCTTTTAAGAACATTTTGCTGGAAATTTTTTTTGGATACTACGCCCCGTTATAGAGTTATGATTTTTTAAATAACATGATGTCAAAAAATCTGCCCAAAAGCTTATCTTATTTCTGTTGGTTACGCACCGCTGATTCGCAATGTTTGTCATCACTTCAAGATGTCTACCGATTCGGGAAAAAGGCGTTAACATAGGTGTTATTAATTTATTAAAGAGATATCATGTGAGTGTCCCTGAGTGTAAGGGTAAATAGGCTTAGTATTATTACTTGGTGCCCTTGTGATCTGGCAACTGTACATTTTAATAATATTAATTTTATTACGTTGCTAGTCTATCTGTAGATAGTCTGTCTAGGTATCCCACTCAAGCGTGGCCCATCTAAGGCATACTGGCTAGGCATACCACTAGGAGGGGGTGGGGAAGGCTAGAGCATAAAATGGCCTTGTCAGTTTTTGGAGTGTCATTTTAGAGACCTACTGTAGCCTTGCTACTTTATATGCGCGCACCATTGTTAAAGCATGCCGCATGGAATTAAGTTAAGCCCTAGGCTTAACCTAGTTTATGTGTGGAGAATAAATCTTCCGCGCAAAAATTTTTCCTTGAAATCCATCCACGCATTTCGGAAATTATGTGCGGATTAACTGAAAAGTCTTTTTTGTGTATTTATGTCATGCGTAAGATGGTACAGTATAATACATACTCCAAGTATGGAAATGAATTAATTATGTTATAATATCAAGAATGATTTTAATCGGTGGACCTTTCGGTTTTTATGTTGTGCGTCGTGGTGGTGTTTGTAATTTTCATTGTTTAACAATAACTTTTAATGTCTTCATGGATTCTTTTTTAAGTAATGTATCAATAGAAAGAGCAATTATTAGACATTCATTCCTGTGATTTTTTTAACAAATCAAAACAAAAAAATATTTAAGGGTTCCTGTTTCCTTGGAACAAATGGCAGGTCGAGGGGAGATGTAGAGGCTCAAGCGTGGAGGTCAATCGCCCTATGATCATTCCAGCTCAAATCTACTACCATGCCCATGTCACAACACCCCCCCCCCCCCCCCCCCCCCCCCCCCCCATGAAAAAATTCTAATACAGTACCTTGATATACCACAAGAAATAATCCAAAATTTCAGATCCAATTGCTACAGTAAGTAGTTTTTAAGTTACGGCCTTTTGAAATTTAGGTACCACACGCCCTTTTTCGTGCTGGTAATGTCTCCTTTGTACGATTTTTACGAAGCTATATTTCCTCGAATAACCAAGAAAAAATTGAAAATGCTACATAGATTGAAATTTGGCCCCTCTTTCAAGGAATACCATTGAAATTTGGGTAGCATATTTTATTAGGTGAACGCCCCACCCCCAAAAATCCCCTGAAGCACTGTACAAAAATAAATTTTCGCCTTTTCTGAGGGCCGTATCTTATCATACTTTTCAGTAATGAAGTTCAAATTAAAGCTGTGATGAAAGCTCATACTACTAAATATAGAAAAGTTTGCAAGGTAATTAGAGAAATTGAAGGTATTATTGGGTCCAGAACATAGTTCAGGACCATCGACCCTAAAAATACCCACTACTTTAACCAACCAGATGACCCAGTGGACACTTAGTATTAATTATGAAATTTATACCAGTAATAATAATAATAATAATAATAATAGTAATATACAGATACACATTGTCATCATTGTAAGCAGAAAGTTTAACGCATTGTTTCTTTACTCCTTCAGTGTGAACTGATTTTTCAAAGATAGACAGATTTTAGTGTTTTCTAAATGTCAGGTCAAAAGTTCAAATCACAACTAAGTCAGAGAGCTTTCGATTTGTGCGACAATGCAACGCTAGAACGGAATTACTCATGCGTGACCGTCCTACCTGGCGTCCATATACATTTTCTGCGTACGTAGATTTTGCCAAATTGCGTTCCAGAATCTGCTCGACGAGGTGACCTTAACGTTTTTCGCATGCGCAGATGACTTTTACTGACGTCATTACGTTCACGGTTTCAGATATCCATGAATGCCTCAGAATGCAACTTTGTTATAGCTCCTTGGCCTTGTCAGGACCCTGCCGGGCTTCTAAGCACTTATCATACTACTTTTTGCTGTCATTTTCCCACAAATTCTAATTTTGCAAGAATTGAAATTAAGTGGTGGTACCAGTTGCAGAGGCAGGCTCAGGTCATAGAGAGCTCTCAAAGGGTGCAGGTCAACTCGGCCACAAGTCAACTCGGCCACAAGTCAACTCGGCCACAAGTCAACTCGGCCACAAGTCAACTCGGCCACAAATCAACTCGGCCACAAAAATTTCGGCTTCTGCCAACTCTGCCACAAGTCAACTCGGCCACAAGTTATTTAATGTAAATCTAAGTTTTTGCATCCTTTTTTTTCAATATATGATGGAAATAAAATACACAGTATGTTTTAGTAAAACAGGACCACCACACTACCAAAAGAGATTTGAATACTATTGCCAATGAATTAACAAATGATAATTAACAAATCAAAACAAAAAAATATTTAAGGGTTCCTTTTTCCTTGGAACAAATGGCAGGTCGAGGGGAGATGTGGAGGCTCAAGCGTGGAGGTCAATCGCCCTATGATCATTCCAGCTCAAATCTACTACCATGCCCATGTCACAACACCCCCCCCCCCTCTCCACCTTGGATTTTTATGAAAAAATTCTAATACAGTACCTTGATATACCACAAGAAATAATCCAAAATTTCAGATCCAATTGCTACAGTAAGTAGTTTTTAAGTTACAGCCTTTTGAAATTTAGGTACCACATGCCCTTTTTCGTGCCGGTAATGTCTCCTTTGTACGATTTTTACGAAGCTATATTTCCTCGAATAACCAAGAAAAAATTGAAAATGCTACATAGATTGAAATTTGGCCCCTCTTTCAAGGAATACCATTGAAATTTGGGTAGCATATTTTATTAGGTGAACGCCCCACCCCCAAAAATCCCCTGAAGCACTGTACAAAAATAAATTTTCGCCTTTTCTGAGGGCCGTATCTTATCATACTTTTCAGTAATGAAGTTCAAATTAAAGCTGTGATGAAAGCTCATACTACTAAATATAGAAAAGTTTGCAAGGTAATTAGAGAAATTGAAGGTATTATTGGGTCCAGAACATAGTTCAGGACCATCGACCCTAAAAATACCCACTATTTTAACCAACCAGATGACCTAGTAGACACTTAATATTAATTATGAAATTTATACCAGTAATAATAATAATAATAATAATAATAATAATAATAATATACAGATACACATTGTAAGCAGAAAGTTTAGCGCATTGTTTCTTTACTCCTTCCAGTGTTCTTCTCCCAATTGAAAAAATTTTACTGGTAAATTAGTCCATAAAAATTGAGCAATGCATGCAGTGTGAGGTGTTACCCCATTTGAGTGGGGTTTAATGACCCGAAGAAACAAGAATCACATTCATAGCCATAGACTGGAAAGACGTTACTGAAAGAGGGCCAGCCTAGACTACCTACAGTAGGCCTAATCAATAGTTTGTTTTTTTTACAAACTCAAATTTTTTACTGGTTGGCCAGTTATTTTTACCGGTAAAATTGACGGCTAAGACGGCTTCGGGAGAACACAGCCTTCAGTGTGAACTGATTTTTCAAAGATAGACAGATTTTAGTGTTTTCTAAATGTCAGGTCAAAAGTTCAAATCACAACTAAGTCAGAGAGCTTTCGATTTGTGCGACAATTCAACGCTAGAACGGAATTACTCATGCGTGACCGTCCTACCTGGCGTCCATATACGTTTTCTGCGTACGTAGATTTTGCCAAATTGCGTTCCAGAATCTGCTCGACGAGGTGACCTTAACGTTTTTCGTATGCGCAGATGACTTTTACTGACGTCATTACGTTCACGGTTTCAGATATCTATGAATGCCTCAGAATGCAACTTTGTTTTAGCTCCTTGGCCTTGTCAGGACCCTGCCGGGCTTCTAAGCACTTATCATGCTACTTTTTGCTGTCATTTTC